TAAAATACATCGAAAAGTTCTACGAATATATATCAAGAGAGATTTAAAGAAAATATATGAAAATCTATTCATTGTGCTAGACAACTATATATCGAGAAGTATACTCAAACTGATATATATATATATATATTGAGATATATATAATTTGCCCCTGCACTTTATGCTTTCAATATTTATATTCAAATTTCTGCAGCAGATCCCAGCCATATTAAATATTCCATATAATTTGATATTCCCTCAAATCCTTTCCCATATGCCCAGGCGTAAGGCAACTGCTAGGCCTGAGCGCAGTGTCCCCGCCTGAGCCGCATGTAAATCAAGTTTACGTTTAATTTAAAGTTCAGCCAATACTTACGTCACATGTTAGCACCACTTTGCTGCCCTGCACCGTGTGGTGCTCCACTCCATTGATGGCGATGCTCGTCGGTCGCACTGCAAGCAGGAAAATACAAAAAAACGTGGTGAGAGGCGAAAAGTAGTTGGGGGTGTCTGTTCGAAAATTGCTCGAAAATGCTCGACTTGTAATTGGGTTTTGTCTGGGCTCTAGGCTATGCATGCTATGCTCGGCTCTCCTCTTCTCTTCTTCTCTCCACTCCACTCCTCACCTCTTTTCGTTCATAATATAAAACATTAATAATGGCAATTTGCATGCGGGCTGGCCCGCCTAAGGCGTATATCGAGTGCCATTACCTACATTTTCAATTGATTGGTAAATGCTTTGAGGCTTGGGGTATGGCTGGGCTCAATCAATCAATCGACTGCGTCCGTCCACTTTGCAAATGAAAAACTTGGCTTAGTTGGCTTAGTTTTATGTTGCCCTTAATGACATTCATTAATTGCTGCAACAAAAAATGTCAAATCATTCGTCAATATGGGAAAAAAAAACTGAAAGGTCCTCGGAGAATTGAGAGGAGGGAGAGAGAGTAAATGTCACTCGATATTGTCAGCATTTAATTAGAAAAAAATTTATTTGCATGACTTTCAAAACGCTCTCCGATGCCTAAGGGATTCTGTTCGTGTTGCTGTTGTTGTT